TTTGATTTATTAGAATTATTGCTAAAACCAAGGGCATAAATCATATAAAATACTTCCAGAGGTCAATAAATCCTAAATAAATTCATGGATGATCCTTATGGGGAATAATGACCCCTCACCAAATTTCAGCAATTTTTGTTACTGTTTCATATGATTTCTAATTTTCTTTTATTTAGGACATGATAAATTACAAAACCACTTTATAGGATGTGAAAATTGTATCTAACAATTTTTGCATACCTTACCTGTGATGGGTGACTTCAGAAAATAATTTCAAGATTTTCCATCATGTTTTACTATTTTTCCCAATTTTTGGTAATTATAATGGTCTAAAAATGGGAGAAATAGTTCGGATTATCCAAAATTCATGAAAATTTACCAGTATATAATATCATAGATTAGGAGGTTACATAAAAATTTTGAATATTTTTCTCTACTGTAAACTATTTTTCTCTTATTTTCTAAAGTTAATTGCACTAAAATACACTTAAATATACATAAATACCCAAAACCAGTTTATACATTATGAAAACCACTTTTGATATTTTTCCCAGGATATTTATACTGTAAATGATGTTACAAAAATTTATGGTGATTTATTTTAACTGTTTAATATTATTTCTTTAATTAATGGCTATTTAAAGGAATAAAGCAAGGAAAAATAGAAATACCCACTGAAAAATATCTTTTATATTTTTCCCAGCCTATTTATATATAATAACAATTAAATAAAAAGTTTGGGTAATTTTGGAAACTGTTTTCTATTTATTTCAATTTTTATTGAAATAAATGCTCAAAAATCATAAAATATAATTAAACGGCTTGGAAATCCATTTTTATAATTTTCCCAGCTTAGTATTGTGTAATAACAGTTAAATAAAAAGTTTAAGAATTTTTATCCCTCGAATGCTATTTTCGTGAATTTATGTTGTAATAAGGACTTAAAAATTTGGAAAGTTTATATTCCAAGGTTGTAATTAATCGCCCGATATATAGAATTTCATTACTTCAGAAAAAGTGTAACTAATTGATATAAAATCCAATACTAAAACATAAATTGGCATTTCCCTATATGTAGAGTTTAGTATATTAGCATTAGATATCGACATGGAAACTCACTAGTGCGTGTGTTTGATGTCGTAGGATCCCGGTAGTAAGACGTTGGTGCATCCCGAAGTACCGCTTGTGTCTACACAAAACATCGTGAGTATTCACGCACTCCCCTATTTTCGGTTTTTATGTTTTGGGGTGGAAAAGCATGTCCAGAAAAACTACTGTTTGCATGTTGTATTTAAATTGAATTGTATCAAACATGATTGCTATTGTATTGCTATATTTCTTTATGTATGTCTATGCAACACGGAACATGAGAACTTATCGTACTAAGGCCCTTCCCTTATCTCTAACCATTAACTCTTTGAGCCAATGGTCGTTATGGATAGCGCTATTAGGAATTGACAACTCCTCACTCGCCCGAATCGCTGGAGTGCATGATACCATATTCATCTATGGAACGATAAGCATAGATCTCGATAGGGCTTCAGTCATAGGTTCGGTTGAGACTCATTGTTTGCTCATACACATACAAACTCGTTTCTCGTTATAGCGATAAACTTCTATTCATTAATAGCAATCAACTTGTTTATCATTGAAACAATGTACTTGTATTTACGAAAAGCCTTATTGTACGCTCGATTTTTATAAACTTGTGATACTCACCAACTATTTTCATAGTTGACGCTCGTTTTACATGCTTTTTCAGGAAGTAATTAGTAAGTGGATGTAAAGATTCATCATCATAGAGCATGCTGCATCGTGTTGAAGCTATTATGAAGCTATATTTTGAACAATGTTATTTTGAAAAACTTGTATTTTGTTTCTTTTGAAGCTATGGGTTGTAAACTTTTAAATACTGCTATGATGATGTATCTTTATCTTTTGCATTGAAACGGTTATCGCTGTCATACCTTGCGTTTCCGCTTTAGCGGGGTGTGATAGTTTTCGATCTCGCTATCTTCAAGCTTCCAAGTGAGTTCATACCCCTTTATTCAACCTTTGAAATGCTTTTAAATGTTTTAAATACTTTATTGGGGGGGGGGGTTACAAGTTAAACACTTATAGTTATTGCTTCAATCACTTGTGATTGCATTAATCACATGTGATTAATAACTAGGAGACCAATGATTTTATCACTGTTCAAACTGTTTTACTTCAAAATGTTTTACAAACTCTTTTACTTATCAAATGCTTTTATTTAAACGTTGTTTTACTACTTATAAATTGCATGCCCATATATGTATAGATATATAAGTATTGTTTAAAGTCCTTAGGAAGGCCATCCACCCTATTTCCTTTTCGCGCACTTAGATGTGGTCTGGTGGGACTTCGGGTGACCATTCTGAGGGTCGTTTCAATATTAGTTATATATCATATATTCATGTATAGACATAAAAGTACTTCCATATTCATACTTATCAGCACATCATTAGTAAGTTACCATCGAGGTAACACAGGATCATACTACTACAATTTCTAGATCAACGAGTCAGTTCATTTAGGAGTCAATAGTTATTACTAAGAGAACATATACAACGATACTTGAACAAGTAACATTTTATTGCATATACACGAATACGTTAACAATTGTGATCCACTGTATGGGAGCATGGCTTAATTGTCATGACCCGAGTTGTAGCCAGAGTCTCCTCGAGGGAGAGCGTGAGTTTGCGTATAGATCTATAGTGGATTGACTATCTTACACCTCGCTGCTAGCTACAGCAGGACCGACAGGTCTGCGGGTGCCAAACGTCATACCTTATTTTTCGACTATACGTTGTCGTTGTTACCAGTCGATAGTATGGTGCAATTTATCACATGATACCTTAATATAAACCCGGTTTAAGGTAGTTAGTACAACAGTAGTTCCTATAAAACAAAACTACAGTACTACAATGATTTACCCATTATATTTTGGTGATAACCTCACTTAAACTTTAATGTACAAACTATATTTTGTTAAAAGATAGTTACACTTGGGAAATTACACACTTTTACATCAAATGAGCATACAAAACAGTTAAGCCTTGGTAGAAGGCTACTTTAACAGAAAATATAGGTTTTTCTGAGAGATTCAAACACTTACATACATTTACAACTCATACTTGCGATAGGTTCAAACGTTTTGATAACAAACATCGACACTAAAATACTTATGAATTCACTAGCTTAATGTTGATAAACTCTTTCAAAATAACTTGTATTCTCAGGTCATCAGTAGACAGGTACTGATGCTAGCTTTTGAGAAGATGGAGCGCATTCAAGACTCATCATATTATTTTGATTTACATTATATTTTTGGTGTCTAAAACTGTACAGAACACGCTTGTATTAAAATTTTATATTTACTGCAATGGATGATGTTGTTTGCTTATTTACATTTACTGTGTTGTGATACTTTACATGACGTCCTTCGCCCCAGAACATTTCCGCCGTTCTCGGTTTTGGGGTGTGACAGACTTGGATGGGGTGGGAGTGTTTGTGATTGTAGCATAGATATGGATAGGTACTCACTTCTGTTTGTGATGCTTGGGGTTCTCCTTTGACATTCCCTAAAAATTTTGCTACGTTACCTGATTATGTTTTACTTGTGGGGTCGTGGTAGCCTGACAGATACATTGTTCAATCAACTTATGGACCAATTTCTTAGCACTATCAAATATAAAGGGTATAGATGCAGTCAGTAGACCCTGAACTGGAGAAGCCAATCCCCAAATATACCTTTCAATCTTCTTATCTTCCGGGGTCACCATTCCTAGATGAAGATTTGAAATGTCGTTAAACCGGGAAGTGTAGGCAGCCACTTCCTATCCTTTCATAGTGAGGTTCCAGAGCTCCTGCTCTAGAGCCTTAACTTCCTATCGAGGGCAACACTCCTTGATCATCACTTGTTTTAGGGGTTCCTAGACCATGACATAAGCTTCATTGATCCCTATGGACTTAGCATGGTTATTCCACCAAGTTAGAGCGGAATCTATAAGTATGCAGGTGGCATACTTCACACGGCAGTCCTCTATGAAAGAAATGATGTGAAACACTGCCTCCATCTTTTCTATCCAGCAAGATAGACCAACGGCTCCTTCCCTTCCATAGAAGGGTCGGGGTTTGCAGCCCATGATGTCATTGTATGAAATAAGCCATAAATTGTTTTGGTTCACCTTTGGAGTTCCACCACCATTTTTGTTGTATCCAAAGTTACCATTCTGAGCAACCTTGTATGCGACTATGGTTGTAACAATTCCTTGCGCATGTAGGGTTTGCATCAAAGTGGAATCCATTTGGAATGGTGGGTTTCAGGTATTGACAAACAATGGGGTTTCTTCTAGAGTTCCCTCTAGAGTTTGAATAACCACTGGTGTACTCTTCGGTTGCTTCAGGAATTTGGTTGTGGACGAACTCGTGGACTCTTTTGTGCGGCCATTGCCCTAAATGTTTGGAAGAGGCACATTTAAGTTGTTTGTATGTCTTATCCATGACAAGTATGAATGAGTTGTATATTTTTGTAATTTGTTCATAAAATCCCACAAAATTCCAAGTCATATAGTCAAAGTTCTTATTCGATAGTTCACTAAGTAGCCATAGAATTTTACAAGCAATACAGACAATGAATTTCAACATTTAACAAAATACTAAAACTAGATTCATAAATTAAATTGCTTTTTTTTTTTTTTTACAAAGGTTACAAAAGTGCTAACCGTGTGAGGTTAGAAATGGAAAAGCTTTATAAAAGAACAATTTCCAAACAGGAATGATAAACATTTGCAGTACAATCAGCTATTCCAACAAAAATCCTAACCCTACACTAAGGCATAAGCCACGCTAGCTGAATGACTACCATCCTAAGCGGTGAATCAGGTAGACGCTAACTCCCTGACTTGCTCCCGAAGCTAACGTCCCTTATACGTTGCAATGGTCACTCTATGCTCAACTGCATCTAGTAGGTTCTACATAACATGAATCTGATACTCTAGGGACCTGATATGGGCACTCATGGCATTGACCTCAGTACGACTGTCACTCATTCGGTGATAGAGGGTTAGAATGGCCTCATAATCATCTTTATTCTCCTCCTCAAGTCTCTCGACTCGACGCTCGATTGATCTAGTGGTAGTACCTGAAGCTCTAACAAGCTCCTCTAGGGACTGTTGTCGGTCTGCTAATCTATCGCCCTGATCCTCGGAGTCACCCACAAAATGGTGCACGTGATGGAGCCCGAGAAGACTTACCACTCTCAAAGCATGGGGGATCATTAGTAATCCTCCTTTTGTTGAGCATGTCGGCCAGCCAACTAGCTTAGGGGTTAACTTGGTTTCCATTTCTAACCACTAATAGGTCGGGAAGGCTAGGAGAAAGTGTCTAAGTGAGATATCGGGGGAATACTCAATCTTGGAGTCCTCCTCAACATAGGAATCTTGTCGTGACGACAATGTGGCTGTGAACATAGCCTAGGTGGGGAAAGAGATGGAGTAAGGATAGGCTCCTCATCTGTTAGGCCCTCCCTACCATCCATTGGGCCGTCATCACTCATATCCTCCTCTACCTCCTAGAATTTTCCTTCACTATCATAATCTCCAGCGTGATCATCCTCATTCTCTGAGATGTATTCCTCTTCTAAAGGGTCTTCCTCCTCAGCGGATTCAGGTGGAGAATATTCAGGAAAATATGGGTCCCCAGCCAAGTGCACTGGGTTCTCGTGATGATCCTCATGATTTGCAGGGTTCATCCAATCTCAGTGGTCATTAGCAATCTGCATCATTAGGTTGTAAAAAAATTTAGTATTTTAGAGTTGAGTTTTAAATGTATAAGTCTTTTAAAGTTGTTATAGGGATTCAAAGCTATTAGGTATCTACAATTCATCTTTAGAACATCCTCGAGTCTCTAAAAGTCTTAACCATTGTAGTATGTTAAACTAATCAATCAAGGTTGGTTTTTCACCATCCCGACCGTAAGTAACATAGGAGCACGTTCCAGATTTACTTATGGTATGATTTATGTATGATACTAACCTTAGTTGAGGCATATGACCTAAAGTGTTGAGTTGGTAGCTTTAGTTGAATGGTTGTTTATAATTTTATTAAGCGTTGTCATCGTGTGTCAGAGTTTATATGTAACTATTATATATTTAGTGTTGGTGAAATCTGTAGTATTATTAAATGTTTTTTGTACCTCAAGACTACCAATTAAAGACGAGGGCCAGACATTAAACACCATAAGGCAGGACCATTTTAGCAATTAAGTCGTTCTGAAATCTGGCAACCCTATGGATTCTTCAAACCAGATTCCACGTACCGTAAGCAACCAAGAATAAGTGTAATTTTTAATAATACTTTTATTAGGAGCATGTAGCTATAGTTATATTTCCTCTTTCGAGGATACGAGTTCTCTATTGGCAATTTAGCTCAGATCCCAATCTGTCATACCTCGGTCGAGGCGGCGGAATACACTGGGTTATGCGTCTTAGTTCATGGATCACAAGCAAACCAAATATACATCACAAGTTACAACAATAATAACATAGTAGTTACGTCTCAATTTAAAGTTCGAATACAAGTTCATACAAATAATAATAATGGGTTCAATAAGTTTTCCTTAACAATTGGCTGATAAAACAAAAACTTTATCCGAAACCCATGAGCATTTCTTCTATCTAAGAACTTGGTTAACGATCTCATGAGGATACATGAAGTTTGAAGATCAATACGAAGGTTGGTAAGAGTTACAGGTTTTCTGCTAACAACAGTAAATATACTTTTAAAAAAAAAATCTAAAATGTATTTCTTTTATATTTAAAACTATTTTTGAAATATGTTTGGTAAGAAGAGAAACTGAATATATGGTTTCTAGATGAATAATTAGTTAATGCTTATAGTGATTCCTATAATCAATCTATGTGACTAAATATAACCCCTTAAAACGCTTCGTTAGACACCGTGGATATAGACTGAAGATAACTATAACTCGCTTTGATTGATCTGTCGAGGTTATAACTAGCAACCACAAGTAGGGGTGTCAACCCGTATAAATCTATATATATGTATCTCGCTCTGAGGACTAACGGTTATAAAGATGTTGGTAAACTAAGTTTGTTAACTTAGGTAATGAATAGCATCTCACTGTAAATGATATTAACTATGATATACCATAAAGTTTTTCTATAAAATTCGAGAACGTATGATGAATTCTTATAAAACGTATAATGCTTGCTTAAATACATAATATGTTTCTTCACTTCCATGAATAATTACAAATGTATAATTGTGATAATTCATAATATATATATATATATATATATATATATATATATATATATATATATATATATATATAAATAATTACAAATGTGTATATATATATATATATATATATATATATATATATATATTCATATTTATTTGATATCATGCTGATTTTGTGAGACCGTTAGCCAAAATTCAAAATTAATTTTAAAATGCAAACTAAAAGGAAAAATCCACAAATTCTTTTTTTTTTTTTAATATTATTTTCGGAACATTAGTTACTTAAAAATAATAATAATATTAAATAATATATAAAAAAAATTACCATTTTTTTAAAACATGTGAAATATTCTAATAGAATATTACACTGTATGTATGTTTATATATATATATATATATATATATATATACATATATATATATATATATATATATATATATATATATATATATATATATCAAGGTTGCAAAAAAACGTTCGAAGTTAGCTAGTCAGTGGACTAGGGTCAAGCGATTAATCAGCTAGGCGGAGATTACTCGGGGGATTAATCGGGTACCATTAATTGTTAATTTGTTGCATTTTAAAAAACTAAATATGACTAATATCATATCAAAGTTTGTAAATACCACTAATATGATAACAAAATTGGTTAATATGATTAATACAACACTAATCATGCCTCAAATAGTTTCCATTGAGATAAAACTTCTTCAAATTGTTAAAATTTCATTGTTTTATAATGTTCCACACATATGTATGCAGGGATTAATCATTGGGCACCCTCTAATCAGTCGAGTAGTGCCTTGGGATTAATCGGAGATTAATCGGGACCTAGTCGGGATATTTACAACAGTGATACATATATATATATATATATATATATATATATATATATATATATATATATATATATATCTAAGTGTAAAAATATCCACGACAGTAACATGTGCATTTTTTTATTGATGTGGGGATTTAGGGCTTATTTTGTTAGCTTTTTTGGTGGTGGGAAATTTCTGTACAAATTAAACAGGCATTTAGATTTAATTTGTAAGGAATTTTAGTGTGTGTGTGTGTGTGTGGAGGGAGGAGGGGTTAATGACGTACAACTCCGAAATTTGGTGGTTTTTTTAAAATGGAAATGTAACTAAGTTGGGCTATGAGCTTCTTGTTGACATGTCCAAGACGACAATGCCACAAGGATGCTCTATCCATACTATTGGAAGAATCCATACACAACACATCATTTCCTAGGTTATCTACACCCATAACAGTTTCATAAATTCCATTACAAGGCATTGCTTCAAAGTATAAAACACCATTTATATAAGCATAAATAGAACCATTCATATTATTAAACGAATATCTAAATCCTTGTTTAAACAAAGCATGAAAAGAAATGATGTTTCTTGCCATATCTGGCGAGTAACAACAATTATTTAAATCTAAATTGAATCTATTACTAAGCACTAAAGAATACACTCCAATCTTGGTAACAGGTGACGATCTTCTGTTCCCCATGATTATATTTATTCTTCCGAGCTCCACATCTCTACTTTCTTCCTAGTCCCTGCAAATCAGAACAAATGTGGTAACCACATCCTGTGTCAAGAACCCAAGAAATAGTATGAGATGAATTGCTAGATTTAATTGTGTATATACCTGCAAAAGATGGCTTGATCTTTCCATCCTTGATGACTTGCAGATATTCCGGGCAGCTTCTCTTCCAATGCCCTATTTTGTGGCAATGATGGCACTCTGCCTCCTTTGGGTTAGGGTTGGACTTAGCAGGATCAACCTTGGTCCCACTAGAAGAGGAACCATCTTGGGACTTTCCATTGCAGTGGTTCTTTAAAGAAGCCTTCCTCTTCTTGCCCCTTCCCTGCCCAATTGCCAAAACAGGAGCAACAGACGGATTGGGAGATGGTGCAACAGACTTGTCCTTAAGATTGCTCTCAGCAGTCCTTAGGAGCCCTTGGAGTTTTCTTAGGGTGACCTCTTCCTTTTTCATGTGGTAGGTCATCCTAAATTGGTTGTAGCATGAGGGCAAGGAGTGAAGAACGATGTCGATACCCAAATATTCCCCAAAGTTAACATTCAACTTGCGAAGACGATCGACATACCTTTGCATCTTTTGCAAGTGCATGGTAAGAGATTCTCCAATTCCCATTTTAGCAGTGATCATATTCGTTATGATCTCGTAGCATTATTGCCTCGCGCTTTGGTGGTATCGCATTATCAAGTCAAGATGCATCTCATAAGGATACATGTCCTCATAGGACTTTTGGAATTCGGAGTTCATAGTGGCTATCATGATGCAATGGACTTTCGTTTCATCACGCTCATGTGTTTAAAACACAACCATTTCTTCGGGAGTGGCAGTTTCTGGATTGATCTTCTCGAGCTTCTCATCGAGAACATACTCCTTGTCCTTGTGATGCGCGATCGTGCGAATGTATCTTATCCATTCGCTAAAGTTTGATCCATCAAAAGTCACTTTTTGACAAAGTCTCATTAGCGTGAATGAGCTAGCAGCAGTGTTGTTTGCATTAGACATCTACAAATAGAAAGGAACAAAGTTGATTAGAATTAAGTCCCTAACTAACACCCAAAAAGAAAATTTAGGGGTAGGACCCAACAACATTATTTACATATTAGAAAAAGGGATGCCGTGATCCAACATGCAAACAATTTGGAGGTAAGTGAATAACGATTCACTAATTCTTCAACATGAAAAGCATAATCCTTAGTTTTAAATGTATTGAGAATTCCTAGATTTTTGAGATTCATTGAACTTTTCAATGGCATGTTTAAATCTCGATATGTCCCTCTAGTTTGTGACTGGGATACCGAGGATCACAAAGCGGGTGTGAATAACCATGCAAATCTACATGGTGCCTTCATTATTAAAATCACCTATTCGATGTGCCGGTAAACCACACACGCTCCACCGAACTATGATAAAAAAATGAATCCCCCTTTACCACCTTTGCTTGGACCCAATTAGTGTGTCGGTTAACCACACGCGCTTCACTAACATTTAAACAAGGGTGCAAAGTGTAATTTCATGGGATTGCATCAA